AATAATAATAATAATAATAATAATAATAATAATAATAATAATAATAAAAATAAACCCTGCCACTCAGACCACTCAACAGAAAACCCTGTTGTTGTGGTATATATCCTTGATCTCAACCACTTGGAAGGCAGAAGCAAGTGGATCTCTGTGAGTTCAAGGCCAGCATGGTCTACAAAGCAAGTTCCAGGACAGCCAGGGCTACACTGACAAACCCTGTCTCAAAAAACCAAAACCAAACCAAAAACAAAAGTCAACAGTCTTGTTAAAGGCAGAAGGAAAAGACAAGGAGGAAAATAATCAAAAGTATACTAACTACTGCAATATAGACAAAAAGTGAAATGGCAGGGAAAGGCAAGAAAAAAAAAAACAGTCATTCCGTAGTACCAGAGGAATCTTCCAAGTGTGTCAGTGTTAAAAGTTTCTCGTTTTCTAAAAGGCTGATATGGCTGAAATCACCATTTGGAGTCTTGTCTTCAAGATGCTTCCCACCATCAGGCATGACAATCTGAAAGGAAACAAATAGTACAAGGCTACACCAAAAGATGAAGTTTTTAATCTACAATGCAGTTAATAAATGAAAAAATATGGGTTAGTCAATGAAAAATCTTTGCTTTACATGAACTAGTAACTTCCCTTTTGCCTACCCTGCATCCCTGCACTGACCCACCTTAAAATGTAACCTATTAAACTGCCTCCCCAGCTTACACACCTAGTAACATATTTAATACACTACACAACTGAATTTGGGAAATACAAGGCTTGCTACAGGAAATGAATACACTAAAGAAAGCTGGAGTAAGTAACCCTGATCCAAGCAATCTTTCCTACCATTAGGACCAGCAAAAACTAAAGGGCATGAGAAATTTACTATAGTCATGACCCAGAATGAAAATTTAGCACTTCCTTATGGCATTTATTTCACATTAATATTGAATATATATTAAAATAACCAGCCTAAGAGATGATTGTAAAATATGCCTAATTTCAAGATCAAAATCATTGCATGTCCACGTGATTTCACATTTACACAGGATAGAACTCAGCTAGTCCAATAAATATCTAAGGCACAAACTGGTACCAGAACAACTTTTATTATTTTTTTGAGATAGGGTCTCATTATGTGGCTGGCTTAAAACTCGATATACAGAACAAGCTAGTGCTGAACTCAGAAGTCTGCCTGCCTCTACCTCCCAAGTGCTAGGATCAAAGGCATGCATGACCACATCCAGATGGAACAATATTTGAATCTCCTTATTACTAAAGGTAAACATCCCCCACCTTTGTTTTTGAGACAGAAAGTGATGATTAGTGTTTCAACTTGACAGAAGCTAGAATCACCTAGGAGTTAGGCCTCTGGGCTTATCTGCTATAATTACCTTGATTACATTAAGGTGAAAAGATCCACCTGCTGTATGTGATGCCGTTCCCTAACCAGGGAATCCAAAACTGTCTAATAGAAAAAAAGAGACCAGGTATGCTCATGCATGCCTTTAATCCCAGCACTCTCGAGAAAGCAGCAGGCCGAGGCAGACAGATTTCTGGGAATACAAGAACAACCTGGTCTACAAAATGAGTTCAAGGGTACACAAGACTACAGAGATACCCTGTCTCAAAAAAAAAAAAAAAAAAACAGGGCAGAAAACAAAGAGTAGAGAAAGCAATCTGAGTCTGGGCATGAATGCATTCATTGTTCCTGGTTATGGATTTGATGTAACCGGCTCACTCCTGCTCAGGTTCCTGCTACTGTAAATTCCCAATTATAATGGACTGTAACGTGGAACTGTGAACTAAAATAAACCGTCTCTCCCTTGTTTTCAAAGGGCATTTTATCACACTAAGAGAAAAAGAAACTAAGACACACAGACTTCCCATACAGCCCAAGCTAGCCTCAAACTCATGACAATCCTCCAACACCAGTGTTGTTATAAACAAAAATGAAAATACCAACCATTCTATTTCACCAATAGTCAGGAGGCAGATGCTGGGGTGAAAACCTACTAGCTCAGAGAGGCAGAAAAAGCATCCAACTGGCCTTCCTTCTTAGCTCAGGTCTAGATGGAAAAAACCAAAAGGCTCACTAGCTCAACTGACAGCCCAGGAGGAAAAGGTCAAAAAAACGCAAGGCCAAAGTCTTGCCAGGCCAAAACCTTGCTAGGGTTACAGCCCAAAAACCCGGGGAGCTGAGGAGCTGAAGTCTAAGCTAAAGCCAGAGCTTAAGCCAAAAGCTTTTTCTACTTCTCTATGTGATCTTAAATACCCTTCAATTCAAAGTCCCTCTTAATTTTTAATCCCTGTCAGGTGATTTCTTGCTCTGCCTCTTGACCTAGGGTTAACTTTATTAAATCCTGTGTACAGAAAACTCTTGCATTAAAGACCTAGGGCTGACTGGGCCAAACCAGAATCACCTGTTTACAATGAAGAGAAAGGTTTGGGATTAAAGGTGTGTGATAGGGCTCAACTAAACCATACAAGTTTTTACAGTTCACAATTTTGAGGTTCACATGCGATCAAATAACCTGCAACACCCCAGTCTTCCAAGTGCTAGGATAGATACTACCAAACACTGCTAAATTTCCATTTTTACTACAGAATTTCTGTTATGTACAAGCTTCGTGTGTGTGTGAAATACGAACTTTTACTCCCTTATAGTACTCGAGAAATTGATAATATATAAAAAATTACCTTGTGTTCTTGATTATTCATCCATGATTTTAAGTGGAAATCAAGAGCTGAGTCTATTTAAGAAACAAAAACAAAAACTGGAGACAAATTAATTTTGACCCAATCATACTCAAAAACAACAAATAAATGAACTAAACATTTTTTATCTTGAAACAGAATAGATGAACGTTCAGATGATAATAACAGAATCCATCAGTGGTCAGCAAAAATTTTAAAACTATTAGAATATCATAAAATTATACACATCATAAAATATGAATATTATCTAATAGAGATTGTAAAGCTAACGCTTTTGTAATAAGAGATTTAGTAAAGGGGAGAAAAAGGAAATCCATATAATGAAAACAGACAAGTCCCAAAAACAGAAATAAGCTATAAGAGATAGGCCTCCCTTGGCTGGGCAAGGTGGTGCAAGCCTGTAATCCCAGCACTTGGGAGGCAGAGGCAAGCAGATTGCTGTGAATTGGAGGCCAGCCTGGTCTACAAAGAGAGTCCAGGACAGCCAAGGCTACACAGAGAAACCCTGTCTCAAAAAACCAAAACTTAAAAAAAAAGAGAGAGAGAGAGATAGGCCTCCCTTACTTCAACAAACCTGAACATACAGGACAAAACAAATGATGTTTAGACCTCAATTCAAGCATAAGGTAAGATTTAAGTTTGCCAACTGGTAATAGAACTATGATCATACATAAAGATTTCCTACAGATGTAGTCTAAGACAGATGTCTAAAATACATAGAGGCAAAATAACACCTAAAATTTTACAATGTCAGGGAGAGTTGCCATAAATAAGTAAAAAGAGTACTAGAGTACAGCTAAATAGCCAGTGCTTGCTGAGTATGTGTGAGACCAAGTTTGACCCCCAAGCACCATGAGTTAGAACTGTATCTACTCCCTGACCAGCAGGAGTCAAAGATCTGTCTAGCTCCACCATATACTTCCAGTATCACAGTCAGCTTCTCCCCAGGCCCATAGCAATGTAACCAGCCGAGCATGAACCGAGGTCCCTGAAACCACAAGCTACAATAAATCCCTTCTCCACCTAAGGTTTTCAAAGAATGTCACTATCTGATTAATATATGTACTAAGTCTATTTTAATGTTTTGAAATACTGTCAAACTGGTTTCCAAAGCAGCTACACCATTTCCTTTTGTTGTTGTTGTTATTTGGTTTCTTTTGTTTTTTGAAACTGGACCTCACTATGTAGTCCTGGATGTTCTGGAACTCACTATATAAACTCATCTGGCCTCAAACTCATAGAGATTCCCCTCCCTCTGACTCTTCAAGCTGGGACTAAAAGTGTGTGCCACCACACCCAACCACCATTTTCCATCAAAGTTTGAGTTTCTATTTCTGCAAATCTTCAACAACACTTGTTTTGTTGTTGTTGTTTTATTTTTATTTTTTGATTCTATGTGTATGAGTATTTATATGAGTATGTTGATGCCCTCTGATATCATAATAGGTGTTCGATTTCTTTAAGCTGGAATTACTGATGGTTTTGAGTTGGCATGTAAATAAGAAAAATCTGTTGGGGCTCACCAACATTGAGACATGTCCAGACATGTCCAGGCCTTAATGCCTAACATAAGAACAGCCATTTTGTCTTCCCTAGTGTATAACTCAATACTCACTGTTTCAATTCCATACTTGATGCTTAGAATACAGTACTAACAAGATGATAAATGTATGTTTTATTTGAGTTAAAGCACAATACCCTACTATGCTCCTTTCTCGAAGGAACAGTAGGGAACTGAGTAGTCCCCAAAAACCCCCTAGAGAGAAAATGGGAATGTCTCCAAGTTCCCCTGTCCTATATCCCAGCTAATGAGCTTAAAGGTCAGCTGAAATGCTTTATATAGCTAGACAAAGTACCTGGAATAGAAGTGATTATTTCTGCTTGGTTATGGGTTGGCATCACAGTTTGACTCCCAAGTAAACTGTGTCCCTGATGATGATCAGTCGTCGGATGTATATTCAATAAACTATCCATACCTGACTGAGATCAGTGGTGTCTGAGTGGTTTGTGCAGCCATTCTTGAACTTATTATAAGAAATCAAATCCAGGTCCCCTGGAAGAGTAATAAGTGCTCCTAACCAGTGACCCATCTGTCTTAGACCCCAGTTTTTATCTCTGTGATATAGCCATTTTGGGTCTGTGTTTATTGGCCATGTGTAAGATTTTTACAGAGAAATGTCTACTCAAAACCTTTGCACATTTGTATTTTAATGTTAAACTTCTTTATATATTCTGAATACTAGTCCCTTCTCTATATATAGTTTGTAATTATGTATACAGAAAACATTTTAATTTTTTGTTTTGTTTTATTTTATTTTTGTTTTTTTGAGACAGGATTTTTATGTGTAGCCCTGGCTGTCCTTTCCAGATAAGGTCTCTCTGTGTAGCCTTTGCTGTCCTGGAACTTACTCTGTAGATAAGGATGACCTCAAATTCATAGAGCCCTGCCTGCCTCTGCCTCACAGATGATGGAATTAAAGGCATGCACCACCACCGCTCAGCAGGATATAGTTTTCAATTTCCAGTTTTGAATTATTTCACAAAAAAAAAAAAAAAAAAGAAAAGAAAAAGAAAAGAAAAAGAAAAAGAACAAGTTGGGGAAAGAGAAGAAACACAGGTATGGGACATACATCTGCAATCCTAGCACTCAGGAAACTGAGGCAGGAGTACTGCTCCAAGTTAATGGCCAGCTTGGGCTACACAGCAGCGTACAAAGCCAACCAGAAGTACATAGCAAAACTGTCTTCAAAAAACACAAGAGGCAGGAGGAGAAAGACAAAAGAGCAAGAATTTAGAATGCCACAAAAGCAGCAGCCTGTAATTTTTTGACAACTCATATTCTGTAGCTTTTCCTACTTTATATATTTACTTTAAAATAAATTTTTAAAATGAGTCACCTTCGAGTATTTCAAAAGTATAAACTTTATTATCTTAGAAACAATATTTTAGAATTTCTAGTTCATCTATTATATTAACATAAAAATAAGGTTAGGCTGGTAGGAGGAAGTGACAGAGTACTGGCAATGAGCTCTGTTCTAAATATAAGCATGCTATAGACCTATAAACAGCATAGTTTCCAGAGCAAAGGAGATCCATCAAGAGGCCTCTACCAAAGGCCATGCCAAACCAAAGCAATGTGTTTACCATGGGACAGAAACATAAGACAGATACAAAAAAAAAAAAAAAAAGGGCAGGGAAATTATATGAAACAATTTCTGACACTTCGTACCTGGTACCTGTTCCAGAGTGGAAACTCCATCCAAAAGATTCTGACCCTGAATGGATTCTGTAGTATTAGCTTGATTCTCTTCTGCATTTGGTTTCAAGAGAGCATGTAACACATGTGGACTCTCTATGTTATTCTTTTTCCTTGAGGCAGAACTTTTTGAGGAAGTAGAATTATGATTAAACGTTAGTTACCTTAGATAAATCTATAAACATCTATTAATTAGTTGTGTATTTCATCTTTCAAAATGGAAAACAGATATACACAGTGAATAAACACTTAGTATAAACATTCTGGGGACTAGATAATCAGGCTTGGTACCTGTGGCACACAGTCTACCCACCAGACACAAAAAGAATATCTCACTGCTACTTTCTCATATAAAAAACTTTTTTTTTCTTTACCACATAAGTATTATATACTTAGAGGGGGAAAAAAACCTCAACTTTTTTTTTTCCACTTTTCTTTTATTGTTTCTTTCAAGAAAGGATTTCTCTGTGTAGCCCCAGCTGTTCTGGAACTCAGAGTAAAACTCAGATATGCTTGCCTCTGCCACCCAAATGCTAGGATTAAACACATGCACCATAACTGCCTAGCTAAGCCCAGCTTTCTAAAAATGATTATATTTACAGATATTAGCATGGTATGTTTGCCAAAACAACAAAATCATTGATTAATAAAGATTTTGTGGTTGTTTTGTTTTTGTTATGACAGAGACTCTCACTGGGTTCTTGGTTGCCCTAGAATCTGCATGTAGACCTGGATGGCCTAGACTTTTGATATTTCTGCTTCTATCTCCCAAGTACTGGGATTATAGTATACCACCATGCCTGGGAAATAAAGGCTTCACAAGTTTATTTCTAAACTCTCACCTCTGTTCTCACACTAGCTTTCTATTTGCTTCTATAATTTTGTATGCAGACGAAAATGATTTTTGTTAACAGCAACTTTCCTTCTGACTTAACAGCAGCTCAGCAAGCAGGAAGATGCAGAAAGACACCCAGGGAAAGTTCCCAAGTACCACAAAAATTATTTCATAGACGCTGATTGTCTTCCAAATTAACTGCCTATATTTTTTTCCTATCACTGTTTCATTTATAGTCAAAAAAAAAAAAAAAAAAAATTAAAGGCTAAAAACGTAATCAAAAAGATGTAGAGGAAGGTCTTGCTTACAGATACTAAGAGGTCATAATCAGTGGGCACCATGGTGCACACCTGTAAACCCAGCACTCGAGGCAGAGGTAGGTAGATCTCTGTGAGTTCAAGGCCAGCCTGGTCTACAAATCGAGTCAGGACAGCCAAGACTACACAGAGAAACTTTATCTCAAAAAAAAAAAAAAAAAAAAAAAGGTAATAATCAAAGACAAAGTTGTACATTTTCCCCAAGTCCAAGGCTAGCTTTACCAGAGTAAAAATGAAGGCAAGAACTTACTCATCACCCTGAAAGCTGAGCTGTAATCTTTCTCCTGGTTCAGTGTTGTCACTCTGGCAACTGGAAGATGATTCAGAATGAACTGAAAACCTCCTTTCAGTTAAGTAGGAAGCCTGGACATCAGAGCACCTATACAAAATTATCAGGATTTAAAATATTCACAATTAAAACTCAGCTCGTTGAGCTAAAGATAACGATTTTTGACAGAGCGCTTGCCTGGTATGCACAAAACCCCAGGTTTGATCCCAACACTACATACATATTCTGGGTATAGTAGTAGAAGCTTACAAATCTACGTGGAAATGGGAACACCAGAACTTCAATGTCATCCTGAGCTACGGGAGTTTGAGGCTACTCAGATCTACATGAAACCTGTCTCAAAATTAACTAATGTCACAGGGCTACAAAATAATAAAACTAATCACACAGGAGCCCCAGTGTTCACAATAATCTTTTAGAGAGTTACCACAACCCTTTATCCCAAAGGTTAAAATGCTACCTTTCATCAGATGGTTAGACTGAAAGCAGATGGTCATATATTTGAGCACAATCAGAATTTACACATTGCACAAACCATACACGAAGTCATCTGTAAAAACCACACACATCACATACGGACTGATATAAATAAAATGTACTAAGCCAAACACATACTCAGATATAAAACTACAAGAAAAATTTAAAAATAAAATCAACGCTAGTTTGGTTCCTAAGAATAAAAACTTTATCTGAGAAATTAAAAATTATTTGAATACAAGCTAAGTTACTTCAGAAGCACACAGGGCTAGGGATGTAGATTAGTGGTAAAGTGTTCACCTAGCATGCACAAGGTCCTGGATTCAAGCCACAGTACTACAAAAAAAGAAAAACAAAATCAGGGGGCTGCTGGAGAGATGGCTCAGCAGTTAAAGGCACTGACTGCTCTTCCAGAGGACCCTCATTGAAATCCCAGCACCCACATGGCAGCTCACAACTGTCTATAACTCTAAGATCTGACAATCTCACACAGACATACATGCAGTCAAAACACCAATGCACATAAAGTTAAATAAATTAAAAACAAAAAGATGAAAAAAAAAAAAATCAGACACGCATTCATTAAATTTAAAGGCCGGAGGTGGTAGTAGTGATATACACTTTTAAAGACAACATTCAGGAGGCAGAGGCAGGCGCATCTCTGAGTTCTAGGACAGCCAAGGCTATACACAGAAAAACCCTATCTTAAAAAAAAAAAAATACTCTGTAAGTTTGAGGCCAGCTTGGTCTACAGTGAGTTCTAGGACCACCAAGGCTACACACAGAGGAACCCTGTCTCAAAAAACAAACAAACTTAGCTTGCAAGGAAAAGCAGCCACACAAACTTAGTAAAGTATGAAGCTGGCTGAAATGAAGTAAAAAAGGAAACTGTCACACAAAAAGATGCAATGACCCCAAGCCAGTTACAGGTCAACACGGAGAAACAGTTCAGTTCACCAGTCTTCTTTCTCCAGCTAGAAAGTGCAATTCATAGATGTCTTTTCAGAGATATTCTTGAACATGAAACAGGCAAGCATATAAAACCATAAGCTAAGAGAATAAAAGAATGACAGTTACCCAGTGAGAAACATAGGGAGCTGAAACCCAAGTCCTAACACATCCCATACCCTGCTCAGTATTATAGGGTTTGTAAACCTGAAAAAAAAATAATATTTCTTCAAGTAAGTCTTACCTGTTGTCAATGCTGGGTCTATTTCGGGCAAGTGTAGAAACAGCAATGGGCAAGCCAAAATCTGATGAAAGAGTGACATTTTCCAAAACCTCACTATTACCAAGTAGTGAACTGGCTAAGCTCGGAAATGACTCTTCTGCTATACCTCGAAAATCTCCCATCTCACTGCAACAAAAACATTTTAAAATAAGTCTACCGCCATAACATTTTCCAATGAGTAAAAAGAACAAGGTCTCTTAAAAAAACAAAAACAAAAACAACTAGACTTCTGTGCCATCAATAAGAAAGAATAGCTACTAACAAACACCCCGAGCTAAAGTCAGATTCAGAACACCATACACAACAAACACTAACCTTACCTTCTTATAACCAACACAGTACAGAAATACAAGTTGGATTTATGTGTCTGAATGCTTGGCCCTTAAGGAAGGGGCACTGTTAAAAGGTGTGGCCTTGTTGAAAGGAAGTGCCAACTTTGGGGGCACTTTGAGTTCTCATATGTAGACAAATATTAATTCAGAACATGGCTGTTACGGCAAGAGATCACATCTAAAGACCTTCTAAGTCTGTGTGATCCAGCTGGAATACAAACACACCTTTATTTAATCCAGGAGACAGAGACAAGCAGATCTGAGTTTCAAGGCCAGCCTGATATGGAGCAAGTTTCAGGTAAAGAAAAGCTTAGGTCCAGGCATGGTGGTACATGCCTTTAATTCCAAACAATAAATGTAAAATTAGTTTGTAGAAAAGAAACATCCATGTTTGAAAGTGATGTCTAACTGAGAGGGAAAAATAGTGACAAATCAGAGAAAGAGCTGACAGGATAGGATATACTCAACTCTCAGGAAGAGAGGAAAGAGATGCTACTTAAGGGGCAATGAGAGAGAAAGAGCAGTTTTTACTGGGACAGTAATAGGAAAACAGGGTGCAGAGAGAGAACACAGGTGAAGACAGAATGAGCCAGAGAATGAGAAAGAGCCAGAAGATTAGAAAAGATTGTTGGATTTAGTTTGAGGCCAAGCAGAGCAATTCAGGGACCGAGAAAGAGAGGCCAGATTGAGTAAGTCAGCTGTGAGAGGAGTTTGAGAGGAGAACAGCTGAATTGAACCAGCCAGCCCAGAACTCAGAACAAGAAAGGGTGAGCTTATTCAGCAATAAGTCTCAGAGGTAGAAAATACTCTAGGCCTACGTTAGATTGTATGGAAGCTAGAAGCTTCCAGGGGTAGGCCTAGGTTAGCAGAAGGGGGAGATAAGCCTCCGAGACAACTAAAACAGGCAAATAAAAGTTCCATTTATACTCATATCCTCAAGCTTCGTCTAGTGTGGCAGTTTCCTGCTCCTGCCTGCAGATCAAGATACAAAACTCTCAGTCCCTTCTCTAGCACCCTGCCTGCATGATGCCATGCTTCCCATAAAGGTGATAATGGACTAAACCTCTGAACTATAAGCAGCCCCAATTAAATGTTTTCTTTTATAAAAGAGTTGCTGTGATCATGGTATCTCTTCATAGCAATAAAAAAACCTAAGACACACCATGGAAGGAATATTAAGTACCACAAACTTAACTAGTAAGGAAAACAAAGATGGTATAAAACTAATGATTTTTACAGTAAGTTTAGGATTGTGGTATTTAGAACAGGTGAGATGGCCCAATGGGTAGGATGCACGCTGTCAAGCCCAATGACCTAAGTTTAATTGCATGTGTTGGAAAAAGAGAATCAATTCCCATAAGCTGTCCTCAGATAGCTACAAATGAGCTGTGGCACACAGATACCTCTGACCATTCTAATTTCTCCTGATATGTCAGTTATCAACTTCTAATGTTTCTAATTTCACATGTCTAGAGCTGAGACCCACTACTTATTCCCAATGCATGTTGCCAATACATTCATTTTAAGCCACTGACAAGTGTTCCAACTATCCTGCCTAAGTCGAGCCTTGTATGCCTATAATCTAGGAGGATGAGACAGGACTGCCTCATGTTTCAGACCAGCCTAGGCTACACAGCCAGTACCCTGTCAGGAGAGTTACAGAGGAAGATCATGTATTTAAAAAAAAAAAACAAAAACAGAAGCCTGACAAACTGAGTTGGCTCTCTAGGATCCATATGATGGAAAGAGAGAAGCAACTTTACGTGGTTAACCTCTGACATATGCATGCTCACAAAATAAAGAATGTAATGACAATAAATTTTCAAAGCAAAAGAAAACCCCATGCAGACAGCACATTCCTAAAGATTTCCTAGATGGGAAAAGGCCATAATTTCCCATCCATTATCCACCATGTAATGTGAAGATAATACAATGTTATCTATTCTTCTATTGTATTTTAAACTAGTAGCCACCTTTGCGATTTCTCTTGCTATTTTCTTAAAAGGGTATATTGGCTTCAAATTTCACATTTTGGTTTACTTGTACTTAACGAATGACACTTGTGGGTACATAAAAGAGTACTTCCTGTAGCCATTACAGGTCTACGCATATAGTTATACACATTTTAAAAGTACACACTGTGGAATCCACAACACCATCAAAGTTGCCAGCAATCATCATTTAACTATTGGCACACTGTGACGCATGTCAAAAATAGGTAAACATTTTGTATTATTTTTAATAAAACTTACCGTGAGCTCTGCCCACAAAGTAGAAGTTTGAAGAAAGAGTTGGTTTGGGAGAAATGAAAACAACAGAAGCATGACCTCAAAATGGTAACTGCAAATCGAAGTATTGTCATATATACAGCTATCCTCCACCCGACTTTGTCCAAAGGGTCCTCATGTTTAACTACACAAAGTCTGAAATCAAGAGCAAAGCAAAAGGAGGGGGATAGTAACAATTATTTTATTTTGCAATAGCTGTTAGGAATAAGTGTACATGAAACTTAGCCACCAGTTGACATAAGAGCCCTCCCCGCAGAGCGAACAAAAAAAAAAAAACGTTACTTCCTTGGTCAGGGTCAGTCAAAAGGACTGGACCGCCCATCGCAATACAGTAAAAAGTCGCCAGAGCACTGTGCAAGAAGAAAACACCGCAAAGCTCAGAGGCCATGTGTCCGTCCCTCAGAAATAGGCAGTCACTGGCCGGACCGGACCCACGGCCAGGCCCTCCGGGCCACACGCGGGCGGGCGTCTAAAGTCACGGAGCAACCTAGCCTCCAGCCCGTGGCCGCCACTACGCCGGGCCGTCACCGCTGCCACCCAGGAGGCGCAGCGCTGGCCCGTGGCTTGCCCTGTCCCTCAAGCCCACCGCACCGACGACCCTCCTCACCAAGCCGCAAACCAAGGCTCCGCGAGCTACAGGCGCCGAGAAAACGTCTGCTGAAGGGGCGGCTCCGCCGTGTGACAAGTGCGCATGCGCTTGCGCGAAAGCCCGCGAGGTTCCCTCCCCTTTGCAGGAAGTTTAGCGTGTGGCCTCGAAGCCGTCCCCGGATTGGGCTAGGTCCAGGGAAGGGGCGGGCAGAAGCCTCTGATTGGTGAGGACCGCGCGTCCCTCGATTTGAAGACCCGAAGCCGCGCAGGCGGGCCTGGAAGAAGCCTTCCGAAAAGGCACCGTTTGCAACGTCTTGCAGTTAATTCCTGTTTGAAATCTTCCCCAAAGCTCCGCAAGTCAGCTTTCCCCACTAGGATTTTTGTTGGTTTTTTCCATATCGCCGCTTAGTAGACGCATAAGCTTCCTTGGGGTACACATGTCACGAAAATTAGCTAAGATTTACCAAGACTCCCGAACCACCCATCTGCTTCTCCTGGAACCCCGACCGCCTTATCCTCCAGCACCACCTTTACCAGCCCGGATTGCACCCGCCCGTGCACCTTCCCCAGGAGAGGCTGAAGCTCTCGAGCCATCGGTCCCCACACCTCCCCAATACCACCCCCCCACGCTACCTGAGGAATCTAGGGCGGGCCCTGCCATGACCAACCTTAGCCAGCGAGGTGCCTCACCAGACACTACCCATGCACTTCCCCACTTCCCCTGCGAGGCATTGTTCCTACCCCCAACCAAACAGTCAGAGAAATCTCGAAATGCAGTACTGGCCTTTAGCTACCTCTGATTTATACAATTGGAAGGCCCAACACCCTCCTTTTTCTGTTAACCCTCTGGGACTAACAAATCTCCTGGAGTCAATCCTTTTCACTCACCAGCCACTTGGGACGATTGTCAGCAATTGTTACAGGTGCTTTTCACCACTGAGGAAGCCTGAAAAAAATATACCAGGAGACAACGGAGCCCCAACCCAGAACCCCGCTACTATTGAAGATGCATTCCCCCTCAAAAGGCCTGAATGGGACTTCAATACGGCTGAAGGTAGGAGGTACATCAAAGTCTATCGCCAGGCTCTGTTGGTGGGTCTCAAAGGGGTTGCCAGGAAGCCCACCGATTTGGCCAAGGTAAGGGAAATTAGACAAGGTCCCATGAGTCCCCCTCCACATTCTTGGAACAACTCATGGAGGCCTTTAGACAATACACTCCATATGATCCTGAAAAGGAAGATTATCGGCCAAATGGAGCTATGGTCTTCATAGAATAGTCCAGTAGGGATATTCGTACAAAGTTACAAAAGATGGATAGACTGCAGGATAAGGCACTGAGGGAATTAGTGCAAGTAGCAGAACGGGTGTTTGACCAGAGAGAAACTGAGGAAGAAAAAGAGGAAAGAAAAGAAAGGGAACAAGAAAAGACAGACATGGAGAGAGAAAAGAGACAAGATAGAAACCTCCAACAGATCCTGGCCACTGTAGTAAAAGAAACCCAAGGGGGGATGGAGACCAAAGAAAGAGCCCTGCTAAAAAAGAACCAAAGTGCATACTTGCAAAGAGATGGGTCACTGGGCTCGTGATTGCTCCAACAGAAACCACCACCACTGGGGAGGTCAGGGGGCTTGCCCTAATGTGTTAACCCTCCAGGAAGATGAAGACTAGGGAAGTCAGGGCTTGGAGCCCCTCCCTGAGCCCAGGATAACTCTGAAAATGGAGGGGCAACCTACTAAATTTTTAGTAGACACTGGGGCCCAACACTTGGTGCTACTCCATAAAGACGGGCCTCTATCAAATCAAAGGTCCTGGGTACAAGAGGCTACTGGTATTAAAATATACTCATGGACTACCCAAAGATCTGTGGATCTAGGGACAGGACAGGTATCCCACTCTTTCATGATCATCCCAGATTGCCCCTACCACTTACTGGGCGCCGAGACCTACTATCCAAAATGAGGGCCCAAATCCACTTTCTCCCTGAGGGACCACAAATCAGGGGCCCTGATGGGGAACCTATTCATTTTCTAACTCTAAAATCGGACGATGAGTACCACCCATATAAATCCAGGAGCCAGATGCAACCAGGAATGGACAAGTGGCTACATGCCTTTCCCTTAGCATGGGCAGAGATGGCAGAAATAGGAAAGGCCATTCACCAACCTCCAATAATTATTGAACTGAAGGCCCAAGCCACCCCAGTGGCAATAAGACAATATCCCATGTCCAAAGAAGCCCATGCCGGCATCAAACCTCATATTAAACACCTCCTCCAAAGAGGAATTATTAGACCTTGCCAGTCTGCCTGGAACATTCCCTTATTGCCAGTCAAGAAGCCCGGAACCCAAGATTATCGACCAGTCCAAGACTTGAGGGAAGAAAACAGGCGAGTAACAGACCTACACCCAACATTACCTAAACCTTACACCTTGTTGAGTTCTCTACCTTCAACCAGGACTTGGTACACCATCCTTGACTTAAAGGACTCCTTCTTCTGCCTCCCCCTAGCACAAGCCAAGCAGGACATATTTGCCTTCGAATGAAAGGATCCTGCAGAGGGCATAACAGGGCAAATGACCTGGACACGGCTGCCCCAAGGATTCAAAAACTCACCAACCATCTTTGATGAAGCCCTATACCACAATTTGGTGGGATTTTGAGCCCAAAATCCCCAGGTAACTCTCTTGTAGTATGTGGACAACCTCCTCATTGCCGCTGAAACTGAGCAACTATGTACCTAACGGACTTGGCAGCTGTTGCAAGAACCAGAACAACTGAGCTATCAGGCATCTGCTAAAAGGGCCCAAATTTGCCAAAAGAAGGTAAGCTACCTGGGGTACCGTCTGAAATGGGGCCAACGATGGTTGTCTGAGGCCAGGAAATGGACCATCTGGCCTTCCCCACACGCAGAAGCCCCTAGCAGATGAGAGAATTCCTAAGCACAGCTTGGTTTTGTCGGCTTTGGATCCCAGGCTTTGCTGAAATCACGGCCCCACTCTACCCCCCCCCCCCCCGCATGGGTGAAGGACAACCTTTCCACTGGGGTGAGCAAGAACAACAAGCCTTTAACGATATCAAGGCGGCCCTTTTGTCAGCACCCGCCTTAGGGCTCCCGGATGTTAGCAAAGCCTTTCAGCTATTTGTGGATGAACACAAGGGGATTGCTAAGGGAGTACTGACTCAAAAGCTGGGCCCATAGAAATGGCCCATAGCCTATTTGTCAAAGAAACTGGATTCAGTAGCTGCCGGATGGCCTACATGCTTGAGGATAGTGGCCACCACTGCCATGTTGTTAAGGGATGCTGACAAACTGACTCTGGGGCAGAAAACTGACTATTATAGCCATTCATGCATTAGAAAGTATCATCAGACAGCCCCCAGACCGCTGGCTCACTAACACCCGAATGACCCATATCAAGCCCTGCTCTTGAATACCAATTGCATTACCTTCAGCCCACCTGCAGGACTCAACCCAGCTTCCTTGCTTCCTGGTCCAGACATGAATGCTCTGCTTCATGACTGCCAACAGACCTTGGTGGCTGACCACAGATGGAGAAAGGACTTAACTGACTAACCCCTGCCAGATGCAGAGGTAACATGGTTCACAGATGGGAGCAGCTTCTTGATGTATGGGCAAAGGAGGACAGGAGCAGCGGTAGTGGACGGAGAACAGATAATATGGGCTGAAGTCTTGCCATCCGGCACATCTGCCCAGAAGGCAGAACTGATCACTTTAACCCAAGCCCTCAGCCTACGGAAGGACAGAAAGGTCAATATCTACACTGATAGCCAATATGCTTTTACCAAGGCTCACGTGCATGGGCCTGTATGCCAAAAAAGAGGGCTCTTAACCTCAGAGGGAAAATAAATAAAAAGTAAAGAAGCGATAATTGAACTGCTAAAAGCACTCTTCCTACCCAAGAAAGTGAACATCATCCACTGCCCAGGGCACCAAAAGGGTAACTCCCCAATAGCCTGGGGAAACAAAATGGCGGATCAAGCTTCTAGGACAGTTGCCATGCAACATTCCACCCCCATTCTGGTAACTGAGGCCCCGAACAAACTGGAGAATGACTGGACCAAAGGATGGCCCAACCTGCAATACTCGATAGAAGAGAAAAACCTCATCTCCCACTAGTTACAAAACCCCACTAATTACAAAACCAAGCATGGACATTGGAACACACTAAAAGGGGAAACTATACTCCCTGAAGATGCTGCCTTGGACCTGATCCAACAGATGCAATTTTTTTTTTTAACCTAGGGCGAAAAAAATTAATTGAAGCCGTTAAAGGATCCAGGTATTTATTCCAGGACTGAGGATTTTAGTGGACCAAGTAAAAGTAAATGTCAGTAAATGTTAGTTTTTGTAGACACCTTTTCAGGATCGGTAGAAGCCTTCCCCACCAAGCAGGAGACCACTTTGATGGTAGCTAAGGAGATACTGGAGGAAATCTTCCCCAGGTTTGGGATTCCACAGGTAATAGGGTCAGATAATGGGCCTGCTTTTACTGCCCAGCTAAGTCAGGACTTAGCTAAAGTGTTGGGGACCAATTGGAAATTACATTGTGCTTATCATCCTTAAAGCTCAGGACAGGTAGAATGGATGAATAGAACTATAAAAGAGACCTTGACTAAACTGACCTTGGAGACTGGCTTAGACTGGGTGGTGCTCCTTCCCTTGGCCCTGTTCCGAAACCGAAACACTCCTTATAGGCTCAAACTAACTCCTTTTGGAATCGTATATAGGTCCCCAACCCCCTGGTAGCTACAGGACCTGACTTGGATTTAACTCTAGATCCTGATTGAGCAATTGTTGCTTGATCGGTTACCCTGCAGACTATACAAAGAGATATCTGAGATATCAGAGAGCTGCCGCTAGCAACCATCAAGTGGCCGGTTGTCCCTGCTATCAGTCTTAGGGTTGGGAACCTGCATTGGGAAAGCATCATCCAGCCACAGGGCTCTCTGATCCTCCATTTTACATATCTCTAATGAATCAGATGTGTGCCTACTCCCTCCCAGTAATAGTTGGTGGGCCTGCAATTCAGGATTGACCCCTTGCATGCACTCTCAAATTCT